TATCCGAGAAGACTAGAATATCTAACCATTTCTTGATGTTATAGAAAGGTATAGCATATTCTTCTCAATTATTTTAAGACCTTGAGTGTTGGTCCGGCCAGGGCTCGAACCCTCGACCTCCCGCACAACAGTCCAGCGCTCTATCCATTGAGTTAACCGGGAGGCGGTTAGTTGCACTTTTTTAGATCTTGTAAAGGCAGGGATCAGCAATTTTTAACACAAGTTTTAACTTAGCACCGTTCTAACAGCTACGTCGATTTCAAGACGTTATATTCACTCCTTGAAGCTAAGTCTGCATGACGTAAAAGGCTATTCCATTTACCTCTTACATCATCATCTTTTTAAGGTCCATGGCGGTACAACATACGAAGACATTAAGCTCAAAGTTCATCAAGCTGAGAAAATGGCTCGCGCAAATCAGGACAGGAATATTGACACCGTTTTGTTCTTTGATGAAGCCAACACTACAGAGGCACTGACCATGATCAAGGAGGTTATGGTAGACCGAAGAATCAATGGTCGGCCTATTGGACAAGGGCTAGAAAGGCTGCAGTTCATCGCTGCCTGTAATCCCTACAGAAGGTAAAGCATGTATTTTAACTTTAATCAAGATTGCATTTTCTAGACTTTGAATTTCCTTAATGGTAAAGTGTTTCCTCACGTATGTTCTAGGCATACAGATGACATGATCCACAAGCTGGAATCAGCAGGTCTAGGATATCACGTGAAAGCAGATGAATCAGAAGATCGACTCGGTATGGATACTTTATAATCTAAAAACCCTCTTGTAATGTGTCGCCGTGTTGCGGAATGCTGTTTTATTTTTGAAAATTGATTTCGAGCCGGCAAATTAGAGTATTTTCGGATCTTTTAGTTATGGCTTATTTCCCTGAAGATGGCACCTTGTCTAGAGTTATTTGTGAATCTTCGGTCTTCAATGATTCTTTAAAGGTGTGGAACTCGCATAGGAGGCAGTTATTCCTATCAATATAGTTCCCTTTTGGCTTTCCGGCAATTGCGATAGGTTCTAGTCATCCAAATTTGGTTAATCCCTGAAAATCCTAAAGAACCTTCCGCCCCCCTCTCCCCCTCTCTCACACACACTTGACGCACGCACGCATGCACGCACGTGAAGACGGATAAACCTACAAACTGAATTGGTGTCGAATTAAATCTTCGCTTTGAAATAAATTTTTGTGAGAATTTTCCTCCTACAGGTCATATCCCATTGCGTCATCTCGTTTACCGTGTACATGCCCTCCCAGGAAGCATGCGCCCGTTGATATGGGATTTTGGTCAACTGAAACCCGATGTGGAGAGACTGTACACCAACCAAATTGTCAGCCGCTTTGTAAGTGTATTCTCATATCACCTCTGAACTCGAGAGAGGATGCTGCTTCCACCTAAATAATGATCATTCTTCTCCCGCGGAGATTAAGTTAGTATTAGTATTCCGTTTTCTAAAACAACAAAGCATGTATGTAGCGAACGCCCCTTCTCTGTCACTAAACTAACCATTATGCAGTTTGATTTTGCGAGTTTTTCTTTCCTTATTTTTTGGACAGATTCTTCACGAAGGCCAACTAGTAGGGGACTATTCCACGGTAAAAGCAGTCGCCCAGGTTCTGGCAGCCTCCCAGAAATATATGAGAGATCAGTCCGTAGGTGGATAGTTTCCTGCAATTTTATTCAGCAGAAGCGTCTTAATTAAAATTCCTTTTTATAATCCCTTGTCGGTGGTGTCAACTCAAGGAGATCATAACTTTTTTCTTTTCATTCAAGGATGAGTGCAGCTTTGTTAGTCTTCGTGATGTTGAGAGAGCCATGCAAGTAATGGTTTGGTTTTATAAGCACGCGGATACACTTGGTAGACTTATGAAAAAGGTGATAGCCGAGCAACGAAGAGAGGAAGGGTTGGACGTCGACGGAAGTGATGATGAAGACGAGGTGGTGACTAAACCTTTTGATATTTTTACCCAACTAAATGAATCAGTCATTGGCAGATTAAGCGTTTTTCTTAGAGCCTGTTGGCATTAAATGGTAACCACAATTTCCCTATCAAACGGTTCAGAATCTGTTCAAATTTCGATCATAGTTCAGATTTGTCATATATTCCTACAAAATTTCAGAACAAGGTGTTCCTATTTTGTGAGGGATAGTGTTTTTTGCCCAAGAACTTGATTAAGCTCATTCATCGTTGTGCTCTGAATTGGCTTATTATCACACGATCTCACAAATAATGTGCTGGAATGAAACGCAAAACAGCAAGTGAGTGTGATCTTTCTTTCAAACGTCCAGCGATTTGGCACCGCCTCTAAACAAGAACAGAAATGCTCGTCTCTCCTTACCACTAGGTGTGTGTGACAACGAAAAAGTCCAATTAATTTTGAGAGGTATATGTAGTGGGGCCGCGACAATCCTGTTTTAAAGTATCACGATATTGTGTATTTGTAGGAGCCAATTACTCCTCTTACCCGTGCCTTGGTACTCGCGATTGGTGTCTGCTACCATGCCAAGCTTCAGGAGCGGCGTGAAGAATATCGCACTGTCGTGGCAAGCAGCTTTGAGGCACCATGTTTGCTCCCAGGTGGTCACAAGCAGATTCTTCGTGAGATTTCGAGGTCTGACCATAGCTAATGCAACTCGGGGTCTACTCTATGTCAAAGAACTTGTGCCACCCTTTTTGACTCACAACGTAGTTATTGAGAAAGACGTACTTTTAGTTGTTTTTAGTTTATAGCTCTAAACCGTTTAAAGATAAAACTATTTTCCTTCCATGTCTGGCCAATTATTAAGTATTTGATACCCGAGTGTGAGGGAGAATGGAAAAATCTCAAACTGAATCCTTACCGTGTTGACCGTATTGACCGGCTAGGCCGAGGTTTGGGATTTCACGGAAACGTTCGAACAGGCAAGTTCGTTACGTTGTTTGTTGTATGGCTTACAAACGTTTCTGAAGTGACAAAAAAATAATTCAAGCGGAAATCGTCCCTTTACATCCGGCGATGCGGGTGCTTACTTATTTATTCATCGATTTCGACCAAGGGTCAAGTCAGTGAATTATCCCGTATTTCGTCAAGGAATCACATTAATTTGCGATTAAAATAATTCTCACGGCCGTTAAAAGTGTTTCAATAGTGTGGTGTCACAACTTGACAAGAGAACTTTTTTTTTATTATTGTGTTTCATGATTCTCAAGGCACTGTACCTTGGCTGCTCTCCTGAAATTTAGCTGCTTCTAACATAATTTTACTCTCAGTGGGTGTTAATGGGCCTTCATCGTTTTCATCTGCTCGAATTTTAATGAGACATGATGGAGAAGCCGCTGTCCTTTCATGACAATTTGAGCTCTTCGAGTTTTAAATAACCTTGTCGGCCCGTGTGCATTACGGTGGCGTAATGCCTTTCTTTGATCTCGCTATTTACCAATCAGAGGTATCATTTTAACGATTGTAAGCTGGAGCCACACAATTAGTGGTGTTATTATTATTTTGATCAAGCAAGTTAAACAACGTAACTTAAGCATCTGCTTTTTGCCCCTGACAGTTGCCAAAAAGCTGTGCTAAACGAGTTGGAACTCGGCCCCAACATAGCTCGCAACACAGCCTTGAGCGAGAATGTGTTTCTGATGGTGGTGTGCATTGAGCTCAGGATCCCATTATTTGTGGTTGGAAAACCGGGCAGCTCAAAATCTTTGGCCAAGACAGTTGTTGCTCATAACATGCAAGGCGATGCCGCAAAATCGGAACTCTTCAAGACCTTCAAGCAGGTAACAAGGCCCTATTCAGATACACTATAATGTGATTGTCTCCTTTATTTGAGGAAATAGCCATTAGGGCCGACGCAACCTAGTTGGCTTATTCTTTTTCTTAACTCTAACATTCTCTCTTTGCGACAAAAACTGTGAATGGTGACTAGCACACTTTCAGAAAAACGTAGTGAATTGCTGGGGTTCCCCTTCAACTAGTGTAACTCAAAACTAGAATGAATCACTATTTGGCGATTTCCGTTCCGCGCCCTTCGGGCATTCCGCGTGTGCTTTATTTTGTGGAAATATGAAATTCCGTATTTACTCGAATAAGAGCCGACCCTAAATAAGCGCTGCATTTGGGACAGAAAAGTTAATAAGCGGCACAGTCCAGTTGCGGCACTTATTTCAGTAATTATTTCACAAGCAGTTGGATAGCTTGAGTAAACTAAATGCAAATCGGAGATGGTCTTCGACCCAGTTCACGAGGAGATTATTGTAGTCTGGCTTGAGTGCGGACAAAACTGGAAATGCAACTGAAAAGTGGCCAAAGAGACCAATAGTGAAATTCAAGATATGCCTCCGTCAGTTATCGTTAACTTTTATAAAAAATAAAATATACTGTCAAATTAAAAGAAGAAAGTTCTTCGAATCATCCAATTCTTTGTCGAGCGCCGTCTCTGTAGAAGCGCCGCAAGCTTGTGTTTACTTTAAGGTCCGTTCTTTAACCGGTGGGTGATGATATATTTCACTACAGGTCCATATGGCATCGTATCAGTGTAGTCCTCTTTCAACCCCAGAGGGTATCTTGGCGACCTTCCGTCAGTGTAGCAAGTTACAGGAAGGAAAAAATTCAGACAAGTTTGTTTCGGTTGTGGTCCTCGATGAGGTTGGACTAGCTGAAGACTCTCCTCTCATGCCTCTTAAAACCTTACACCCATTGCTCGAAGATGGGGTCACCTCTGCTGATGACGTAATCGAGACTGACGAGAAACCGCAGCGCGTAGCTTTTATTGGAATTTCAAATTGGGCCTTGGATCCCGCCAAAATGAACCGTGGAATCATGCTTTCGCGTGGAGTACCAAGCAAAGAAGAACTTATAGACAGTGCTCTGTAAGTGAATTTAATGTTATTATTTCGCTTTGACATACCTATTCAATCATGTGAGCACTTATCGCAACAGGAAAATTTGGTTTCTTTTAGAGCTTTCAGAAATCTTTATTTCTCTGGTAAAGAAACTTGAGTACCAAATTTATCAAAAGTCTCATTTCCAACGAGAATGGAATAATAGTCTTTTCCAACTTCCATGATGTGTTGATATGTCAGCAAAAAAACAGTTATTACGTAGTAACGTAAAGCATGATGTACACGAGGAAACTTTCATAACAACTTTGAATTCCCAAAGTATTTTAGAGCAATTCTCCGAGAAAGTGAAGCAAAATTGGAAATGAAAATTTATAACCCCCCCCCCCATTAATTTTGTGTGGAGGTAGGTTACGGGGGGAGGGGGGGATAAACAAAAACAACCATAGGTGGATAGGCAGAGGTATCGTTACCAAGAGCTCCACTATCAAAAAGTAAAAGTAAACGAGTCTGGTTGTCGGATGCATGCGAACCAATTCAAATGAAAGTCATACAGATGATAGAGCCCCTCTCTCAGTTTATAAAATTTGCCGTTAACATATTTTGGGTTTTATCAACAAGAAGAAATGCTCGTCTTAATAAGTTCCCTGTCTGCTATTAAGACAAGCAGGAAAAACAAGCACAACCATATTCGTACTTTCTCCGAAAGTACTCTTTCTACATGAACCAAATTAGCAGCAGAGGTTACACAGATATTGACGTTTCGAAGTATTATAAAATCAATTTGAGGAAAATTATATTGTGGCCATGGGTGCTGAAGACACCTGGGGCAAATTGCAAAAAATTGCAAAATTGGTAATTTTGAGGGCTCTAGTATTTGGCTCAAACAGTCTTTAGAAAGAAAAAATCAGCTTCAAAAGTATCTTTTATCATCTTTTCTGTGACCTACATTTAGTTGATAAGGTTTTGGCCGACGAGTTTGATGAAATGTAAATTTACGTATATGTGCACGATCCTTCGCAGTAAAGCACTATTTAAGCAATAGTGAAAATCAGACCTGAAAAAAATTCAGGCCTGTACGGGATTCGAACCACTGACCTCTGCGATACTAGTGCAGCGCTCTACCAATTGAGCTAACAAGCCAACTGGGAGCAGGCCATCAAATTAATTCGACATAAACCCGTAGATGATAAATCAAACAACAAACATATGAAATACATATATATGAACTGCGGTTATGAAACGTATATGTGCACGATCCTTCGCAGTAAAGCACTATTTAAGCAATAGTGAAAATCAGACCTGAAAAAAATTCAGGCCTGTACGGGATTCGAACCACTGACCTCTGCGATACTAGTGCAGCGCTCTACCAATTGAGCTAACAAGCCAACTGGGAGCAGGCCATCAAATTAATTCGACATAAACCCGTAGATGATAAATCAAACAACAAACATATGAAATACATATATATGAACTGCGGTTATGAAACGTATATGTGCACGATCCTTCGCAGTAAAGCACTATTTAAGCAATAGTGAAAATCAGACCTGAAAAAAATTCAGGCCTGTACGGGATTCGAACCACTGACCTCTGCGATACTAGTGCAGCGCTCTACCAATTGAGCTAACAAGCCAACTGGGAGCAGGCCATCAAATTAATTCGACATAAACCCGTAGATGATAAATCAAACAACAAACATATGAAATACATATATATGAACTGCGGTTATGAAACGTATATGTGCACGATCCTTCGCAGTAAAGCACTATTTAAGCAATAGTGAAAATCAGACCTGAAAAAAATTCAGGCCTGTACGGGATTCGAACCACTGACCTCTGCGATACTAGTGCAGCGCTCTACCAATTGAGCTAACAAGCCAACTGGGAGCAGGCCATCAAATTAATTCGACATAAACCCGTAGATGATAAATCAAACAACAAACATATGAAATACATATATATGAACTGCGGTTATGAAACGTATATGTGCACGATCCTTCGCAGTAAAGCACTATTTAAGCAATAGTGAAAATCAGACCTGAAAAAAATTCAGGCCTGTACGGGATTCGAACCACTGACCTCTGCGATACTAGTGCAGCGCTCTACCAATTGAGCTAACAAGCCAACTGGGAGCAGGCCATCAAATTAATTCGACATAAACCCGTAGATGATAAATCAAACAACAAACATATGAAATACATATATATGAACTGCGGTTATGAAACGTATATGTGCACGATCCTTCGCAGTAAAGCACTATTTAAGCAATAGTGAAAATCAGACCTGAAAAAAATTCAGGCCTGTACGGGATTCGAACCACTGACCTCTGCGATACTAGTGCAGCGCTCTACCAATTGAGCTAACAAGCCAACTGGGAGCAGGCCATCAAATTAATTCGACATAAACCCGTAGATGATAAATCAAACAACAAACATATGAAATACATATATATGAACTGCGGTTATGAAACGTATATGTGCACGATCCTTCGCAGTAAAGCACTATTTAAGCAATAGTGAAAATCAGACCTGAAAAAAATTCAGGCCTGTACGGGATTCGAACCACTGACCTCTGCGATACTAGTGCAGCGCTCTACCAATTGAGCTAACAAGCCAACTGGGAGCAGGCCATCAAATTAATTCGACATAAACCCGTAGATGATAAATCAAACAACAAACATATGAAATACATATATATGAACTGCGGTTATGAAACGTATATGTGCACGATCCTTCGCAGTAAAGCACTATTTAAGCAATAGTGAAAATCAGACCTGAAAAAAATTCAGGCCTGTACGGGATTCGAACCACTGACCTNATCAAAGAAAAAACGTCAAGCAATTTCATACCCTCGGAAACTGCTGCGCTGTTGTGTTGTGCTACTTCAGGCGGTACTTGACAATTTTTGCACTGGCCCCTTCAGTAAATCCCCAGACGATCTCGGTGTAGTTGACAAATATCAAGCGACCTTGCTTCATCGTGATTAGCATCAAAACATCCCAGCAAAAATGTATGCGTTTAGGCATATCTAGTACCTTGATGCAAACAGACTTAGAAACAGCAACAACAATGTACCATGCACGAAGAAAACCAGTTTCCTTAAATAAATGCTGAGAATATGAATCGTAACATAAATCTAAAAACAAAAACAAAGTCAATGAAGCTGAACTGAACCTTGGGTGAAAATTAAACGCATGATCATAATAGCCGCACCCAAAAACAAAAAGATTGCTTTATAGACTGAAAATGCACTCACAAATTCAGTTATGATTAACTATTTGTGACAAGACAATGAAATTTTCGCACATGAAATGTATTCACCTCCACAGCGAATAATTAGATCCATTTCGTCGCTGATTTCATCACGGTTTATAGCCTGGAAAATACCCCTTTGACATTCACTGAGTTTTATACTGTTTCCACTGCACTCATAAAAGTCCTCTTTAGGATTTAAAGAAGAACAACTTTCCATTGTCCCGACCAGGATATTTTTCTTCGTAGACGATTTGCAAATTTCCCTTGCAGTGTTTTTGATTGACGGCACAAATTCACTTCTGGTCACCCCTTCCCCCACAAAGAAACAACAACAAACCAACGAGCAAGACCAAAAAAATAAATAAATAAATGAACAGAAAGAATGGAAAAATTTGGGCAGGTATTAGGTACTGAATGTGAAAATTTATCGGCCTGGAGAAGACTTATTTATTTCTGGAGGAGAGGTGGGTCAAAAATTCCAACTTCGTAACTTCTAATGTGTACGCTAATGCCCCAGATCATCTAACATGCAGGCCATCATTGATATCCAATGAACAATAAATAACAAGAAACAAACAAACCCAGGAAATATGGGCGGCTTATGTGGACAAATAGTAGGTTGAGTAAAGCGATCACTTTACTCACCACAGTAAAACAGTCATAAAAGCGGATCAAAAGTTGTCCTTTTATCCCTTATCCATGATATATTGTACCAAGAATATCTAATGAAGAGACAATGCCATTGCGACGATGTCGCTTTATCTGAAGCTACAAAAACAAACAAACAAGAAGCGCGAAAATCGCATTTTAAATGTACATCTGGTCGGCAGTTTTGCTCATCGCTTTTCCGGTCTACTTACGTTAGGTCGTAAACGACGATTTCTTCGCTTCTCAACAATGCACCACGGAATGTACGGCTCGATTTAGTTAAAGACCTAATTCAGAATCGTCGCAGACATGCATTTGCTTAGCTGTGATCTTGATGCATCTATTAAACTTTCTGAATGGATCGTATTGATGAATTAAGTCGATACTCGACACACGACTGTGTTTGACCTGTTCGACTGTTCTATATTCGGGTTAATGCATCATCATCTGTGGTCTAAAAGCAGATGTTCGGTAAGGCTAGCTAGTTAGATTTGACCTTTCCGCGAGAGTCTGCAAGATTTGGTCAAGAAAATGGAGCGGGCGAACTGTGGAGAGACCCATACCATACGACAAATGCATCCTGAAGAAATCTCCAAAAGTTGCAAGGTAGGCTTTGTTTCAATTTATAATTCATCAAATTCGTTGGCCAAAACTTAATCAATCAAATGTAAGTGACAGATGAGATGATTGAAAATACTTCTGAAGCAGATATTCTCTATCTTAAGCCTGTTTGAGCCAAATACTGGAGCCGTCAAAATTTCCAATTTTGCAATTTTTGCAACTTGCCTCGGATGTCTTCAACACCCATTGCCAAAATATAATTTTCCCCAAATAGATTCTGTGATATTTAGAAACTTCAATATCTATGTAAGCTCTGCTGCCAATGATCTCGCGCAAAACGGGACGCCATTGTTACAAAACAAACAGAAATTGCTTTACCTTGGCAGCCGTTGCTAAGTGATTTTCAGCCAATCATTTTCAAGTAATTTTGCCCGGGGCAATTCCAAAAATTAAGAAAAAATGCCCTCTGTATTGACCAATCACAATTCAGTAATTTTGCCCCTTATATAATAAAGCCATGTCTCCGTCGTTCTGGGTCAAATATGGATGCAGGCATTTGTTGCCTCCCCTTACATATGTGAATATTGTTTATCAGGGGAATATGCTCCACGGATAAAATGGTAAAAGCTCTTATCCAGCCTCTCATATCTCCACTGGCCGCTGGGTATGCAGCACTGTACAAGGAACAGAAAAGCTTTGTAACGTTAAAGGAATGTGGCAAAGAAGAATTTTTCGGCCTCCGTGACTTTTACAGGTTTGTTATTTGTGAGCTTGCTTCCTTACTCGCTTTTTTGGTAATCAATTTGGCTTAATTTGGTGTTGACTTGCTTATAAGCCTCTTTGTCTCTTTACGTAAGTCTTATCAAGATGGTGTACTCCGTCGCGGCAAAGTCTAAAAAGCGACCTCTTTGGCAGGAACTGGAACATGCTATTAAGAGGAACTTTGGGGGCCTGGTTGAAGGTGACCCTGTAGGAATATTCAAACGCTACTATACCGAAAAAGATGTGAGTTTACATGCAAAACACTATTCAGATCAGTGTCGAAGTTGATTCGCTGTAACGATAACTTTAATTCAATATGCCCTTTGATTTGCCTTTCAAACTAGCATAACCCTCTCAACCGATCATTTGCGAAACGTGGTTATTTCCATAATCCGCGGTCAAAGCCGGAATTTGGGATGGTATTTTTTAATGTTCTGTCGGTGGTTGTCATCACTTTTATTGACTCAATCGAAAAGCATTCTTTCAGTGTCAGTTCAAACTCTTACCTTGGTAAAGGCTATTTCAACAGTGAACATGAGGTAACCGGCATTCAGATATTTGTTGACTTGTCCTAAGAGATAAATAGCTTCGTATAAAAAAAGATGACTCGATCTAAGGAAACTTTTATACACTGTTCCAGTAGAGACTGATTGCAATCAAATTTAAGCGTTTACATTGCTTGAAGTTTTTAGCTTGAAAATTAAATTAGCCATGGGTTACGGCTTAGTACCTTAGTACCTACGTTCTCTCAATTAAGGTGCACGATAAGGGAGAGACCTCTACGACAATAAGATTGATCGAGGCAAGTCTTGGAAGGGAAGACGTAGCTGACAGAGCTAATTTCAGGTACATCCGATCCGAACTTGTTATTTCGTTCGTTCGATTGTTGGTTCGCCTGTTTTTTTGTTTGTTTGTTTGTTTGTTTGTTTGTTTTCATTTAAATCACTGACGCGAATGACTAAAAGAACAGTTTTTCACATTAATCCAATATCGTCACTCTTTTTAGTGAAAACCGTTACCTTCTGATTCTGACTGAAAATTACGCTGCCCTACCCATCATGCAACAGCATTTTTTAAAGACAGCAGTTGATGCAGTGGTGATCTTCGGAAGTAGTTTTCCAAATGACCAGGAATATACTCAGGTAAAAAACGACTTTGTCTTGGTCCACAAAAACCCAAACATGAATTACGCCAATATCCAGCCATCATGACCGAACAAGCTTGGTCAATAACGCATATGTATCCAGGCGGTGTGTACACTTCGATTGCGTTGCACTGTGGTAGCGTTATTTTCGATATGTCTGTGAAAGCGACCGAAATCAAAAGATTGACTGATCATTCCGCAAAAGTTAGGCCGTTTCTTTTTTCTTTTACCGTAGATAGTGTAGTTTGACATATTCTGAATGTGTAGAAGTCTTTTTTTGAACGTATTTGTCGTTTATTCTTTCGTTCTCAATAACAAACTCAAGCACTGATTTGGATTAAGTAATTTGAGACCGGGTTTCGAGAAGGTCAAATTTGTTGTACGTCGTATTTTGAGGCCTTCCAAAGATTTGGATGACCACGCTGATCCTTGACACAGCTCCGACCAAACATTCTCAAACGCTCTCTAACGGTACACGTGTTTTTTGCATTTTAAGTAGTAGTGTTTGAGACTGGTCACGGCAGCGAAAAGTCCTGTTGTTGTGTTTAGCGTATTGCGTTACATAGCGTTACTACAGTAAGCACATTTCCTCAATGTATTGAGTCATGTTGTAAATCTACTTTCCTAAGCGAACGCAAATTAACTTATCGCGAGTATTGTATGGTCAATCTACTAGTTTGATTTCTGAATTGAACTAGACAAGAAACGAGTTACTTGATCAATGAGTAACTCTACCTTGCTCGAAGTTACACGCCGGTAAGCCGGAAAGCAAAAGGCAGTTGGCCGTTAAGAGGTGTTGATAGGACTGTGCGACTCCTGCCACTAGCTAGGACCACTAGCGCTTTTAAATCTTCTTCCCTTAAAGTTAAGCTCTTATTAGGATATCTTGTTGGGACTTTCTTCTGCAATGTGATAATAAGGGTAAGTTTTAAGATATCCTTTCTCCATAGATGTGTGTTTTCTTGAGGTTTGGCAAAGCCGGGTGAGATCGTATTACAAAAGGCAATACAGTGTGTATGTCGTTCTGTGCGTGCGCCATTTTATTTTTTTTTTTAGTATTCTTTTCTTCCGCAAAAAATAACTGCGGAGATACGTTTCTTAAAACCTCCATTTAGTTATCTTTTATAAATTACCTTTTCCATCTAAAAAGAAAAAGAAAAAAAATTTCCAATTCATCCTGGTATGTGGGCAATGAACTAAACTCGCAATCCAGTGTTCGGACAGAATATCATTTGAGGTGAGAGGGGTGGTCTTACATCTTAGTTTTGGAAACACCCCGCGATTTGACACTTGTTGCTGGCGAGCCCTAGCGAGGCAGCAGCTTATTCTTCACAATAGCGAGAAAAAGCCAAACTGATTAGTGGGATGTAAGATCGGAGATATGCCCAGTCCGATTGCGTTTTTTATATCAGGGGTGTTTGTAATGACATCTCATAAAATGCACGTGGAAACATCGATTGATTTCGAGCAATGCCCGTTGAGGTAAACAATTCGACCATTGAGTTACATTTGCCCGTTGAGGCGAAAGAAAAGCTTGCAATCATAGATTGAAATTGTGGATCGCTCGTTGAAGCTAATCATTCAACAAAATTGATGTGGATTGCTCGTTAAAGCTAACCATTCAACTGCAAACTCAAATGACTGTTGGGGCTTTGAAACAAATTCTGAGTCGATTTCATCCGTGGAGTGCATCCATTCGACCGTCGAGTCCAATAGGCCATTTTACAGTTCTGTGCTTGGTTGCCAAGCCTTTGATTTGGAGTGAGGCTGAAGGTGACCTTGCTGTGATAGAGACCAGCAGCTATTTAGCATGATAACAAAGTAATTTACATCTGAAAAGCAGCAACGTCTGTATCATAACAAGGTCACCCTTAGCCTCACTCCCATTCAAAGGCTTGGCAACCAAGCATGTAACTGTAAAATGGACTATTGTTTTTCAACCTTAGAGTAAAAAAAAAACTTCTCGAGCACAACATTAAGTTGTCGTTTGCTCAATGACGTTAAACATTCCTCAAAATGTGTTGGTCTTACCGAAAGGCGGTTCGCGAGTTTTGAAGGAAAAAGCTTGATTGTGATATTTACAGAATAAAATGTGGAGAGCGCCGACAAGGGTTGATCAATGTGAATGACACCCTTTATCCTTGCCTTTCCTTTTGTTCAGCACTGATGAATACTTTCACCACTTACAAGTAGGTAATTGTCATTTTTAGAATTGTCACTGACTATTTTAAGTGAATCAAATGGTTCATTTTATACTTTTGATCCTTATGCTAGAAACGGTGATGGTACGCCAAATTCACCGCAGCAATTGTATTAAAATTTGGAGATTTGGGTGAACTTGGAACATTCTTGTGTTCTTTAGCAAATGAACTGACATGGGAATGTTTTGAAATTATCCCTCTGACGCCTGCACCCACTTTCACATTGAAACTGCTAGTTTAAGAAGTAATGATTGATGTAAGTCTTGGAAAGCGCAGCCGGTAAATAAATCACTGTGTAAACTATGTCACTATCAGCAGGATGTGCGGCAGCATTAGACACCCTAGTGCGATATTCTTATTGGTTGCTTAGCAATTTATCTGTTAAGTTCGCTGATCAAACTTTTTCCTATACGCATCACGCAGGGAGTAATTGTGGGAGATTCATTTTGAAAAAACAGAATTCCCATACACGGATTTTTAGGTTGGCATCCGGGTAGTCTTCGGATCAAATTTCAAGGCAATCCGAATATTAAACATACCCTATTATTTCGTTCAAAGAAGGCACATTTATGTAAAATCGAGGTAGGATTTTTTGCTTCCAAAAATTTCCCCAACAATTCATGTCTTTGGGTGACCCCATGTCAAGTTTTGGGGGGAGCAGGGTTGGCCTACGTAGTGGTGAGAGCGCTCGCCTTCCAACAATGTGTCCCGGGTTCGATTCCCGGACCCGGCGTGATAAGTGGATTGAGTTTGTTGGTTCTCTACTCTGCTCCGAGAGGTTTTTCTCCGGGTACTCCGGTTTTCCCCTCTCCTCAAAAACCATCATCATTTAAATCTAATTAATTTAGAGTTTATTTGCATTTACACACGACCCCACAAGCTGTTCAGCTTTAAACATTATCGTGTCTAAATAAAAGTATTATTATTATTATTAAAGGTCTACCGTATCTTCAACCGTATATTCTATACTATAACTTTGTATCCAGATATGTCGCAACATCAATCGCATCAAGGTTTGTATGGAGACAGGAAGAACAGTGATATTGTTGAACCTTGAAAGTCTCTACGAGAGTCTTTACGATGCTCTAAATCAGGTTTGTACATATCCTTTGCAAAGGTTACACATATTTTTTTACTTTTTATTTTTAGGGGTGAAACATATTCTTTGGAAAGCTTCTATTCGGGGAACTCAAACTCGGGCCCCGACTTTTTTGTCTTCATAAAAGTGGTATCTCAATTCAGGAGACATTCTCTCTAGCCGAGAAAGGGTCCCTTGAATGAAGATCTCACTGAAACCGAACTAGTTTGTAGTATTAAGTTGTGGAAATCTTGCCATACCTCTTGAGTCAGTTTCTGCAAAAGTAGGTATTTCAGATGGTGTACGACTCTCACACTATGCTTCTCTTTGTTGGAAACATGGGTTATGGTTTGCAGCACTCTGAACTACATACTTATATGTCTAAAGTTGTGGGTTCAATGACTATGTTATATCTTGCTTTTGGCAATGTTATTTTCCTAGTATTATGAACGCTTTGGAGGAGAAAAGTACGTGGATCTTGGGCTCGGTACTCACCGTGTCAAATGTCGTGTCCATGATGGCTTCAAGTAAGAATTTTGTGTGGATCATTTCGTTCACTGTTATCCTCTGTGGGTAAAGAGATATAATTTATTTTATTTAAACTGAATTTATGTTTTTTGTGAGTTTTATAGGTCGTTTTTCTGTGTTTAGATGTGTTTCTTGGAGTGCGTTCGAGAGACAGATGCGAACCTTTTTCGTTTTCATCTTCATCTTTATTTCTTTTGAGATAATTCACAAACAGTGCTAGCTAGCCCAATAGGTTTTAATCATTACTGTTATCGTGTGTACGCTAACGTCTCATATCCCTTACCCAGACTGATAGTGATTGCTGAAAAGGACGTGGTGTACAACAGCTTTCCTATTCCGTTGATAAACCGTTTAGAGAAACACTTCCTTGTGACCTTAACAAGTTTGAGTCCTAAACAGAAGAAGCTGGTACAGAAATTAAGAACGTGGGCTAGCGAATTTGCCAAGGTTACGAGTGAAGGCAGACGTAGTAGGTGAGGTTTCAAACCGAAGGGATCCTAAGGCGTTTAATTTCTGTCATTTCTTAGTATTACATGGCTCTGAACTCTTTCCACTTGTTCCTTATACCCGGAGTTCACCGTATAGTCACACACTATTCTAAATTCTCTTTTCTTTCTGTTAAATTGATTAGTAACTTCCTATCTGTAAACCATGTATGTAGCACACAATTATTTAGTTCCAAGTGTCCGTGGCGTTTAAGTAAATTTGGTAAAAGTCATGTATTACTTAAACCAGTTATGGACCTGCCATGAGTTGAAAAAATACCCGTCGTAGTCGTGAGATGCAAACCAGTAACCTTAACGCACACCTCTTAACGAATGAGTCCTAGTTTTAAGGTTATGAATTACAACCTGTCTAAGTATTTCCTTTACTCTGTGCCTGTTGGTTGTTCCTAATATTTTTAATTCTGAAAAGATATAACATATATATTATATTAACACCAATGAGACACCAAGTGAGCTTTCGCGCGAAAACGTCACATCTTCACACGTGAAAATGACGCATTATCTTCACACGTGAATATAACACCATTTCAGTTTCGCATCGAAAGTGAAATGGTTTGGCTCTTTATTGGTGTTTATATAATTAATATAATATTACATGGCTGCTTGGAGATTCGAAATTTCGTCTTCGCTTGAAGACAAATTTTGTATCTCCGCGCAGCCATGTAATCTTCTCAATACATCATTTGATATTTTAATACAGGGTTTTCTCCATCGGAGATGCTTTCGTTGGATTCCACGAGGATACAATTCCCTCCATTGTTATGCAAGTCTGCTATGAAATTGAGAGAGATAACTACGCACCAACTGATGATGACGCTAAGAATGCATGGGAAGATGAAGTAGAGTACCCAGAAATGGTAATTTAAATTAGATATATCTTAATGGGTTTTACGCATTATAATACTTGGTAAATTTTGCAAAGTTCCTAGATATTTACGAAGCAACGAAAAGTACCCCGGTACGGAGAGAAAAATGTCGGAGGACTTTGTCAAGCCGTCGAGAAATAATTTGTAATCGCACCATTTTGAAGTGTTCTTATACTTTTTTCTCATTGATCTGAAAATACGTCTCGCTTTATCGATGTGAGAATCTTGGCGATCATCCTGAGGTGCGTGTGAATGATGGGACACGGGCAAATGATCTGCTTATAAAGTGGGCCATAGCACTGAATCTGTTGAAAGTGCATAACGATATGGTACGTGCACTGGATGATGAAAGGTGTGTAATGTTGGTACTGTTGGACGTGTCGGCAGCGCTCGACACAGTGGATCATGGCATTCTACTATCGTGTCTCTCCCATTGTATTGGTGTTCAGGGCTCTGCCTACGCTTGGTTTGAGTCTTACCTGTCCAGTCGTTCACAGTTCGTCCAAATCAGAGATACTAGTTCTTCTGATCGTCCACTGACCTGCGGTCTTCCCCAGGGGTCTGTGTTGGGCCCAATCATATATTTGGTCTATACCTCTCCTCTCGGAGCTATCCTGCGTCACCATGGTGTCGGGTTTCATATGTACGCGGACGACACTCAACTGTACCTTAGCAGGAAGACCACTAAAATGGAGGACGTTGTGTCAGCGCGCACTTGGGTTGAAGTTTGTTTGCGTGAGCTGAACCAATGGATGCTTTTAAACAATCTCCGGTTAAACAACGACAAGACTAAACTCCCGGTTCTGCATGCTGAACATCGTCGTAAGCCACTATTAGATACGATTACTGTGGGCGATGCTACTGTCGAGCCCACGTCTAGCGCACGGAACATTGGTGCCGTCTTCGACAATACCATGAGTTTCGAGGAACACGTCAATGATCTATGCAAGAGTGCTTTTTTTATCTCATCAGAAACATTAGTCACATACGTCCATGCCTTAGTATTGACTCAACCAAAACACGGGTGCATGCATTAGTAACGTCTCGCTTAGATCATTGTAATTCGCTTCTTTATGGTCTACCTGACTATCTTATTTAGAGACTACAATATGTTATGAACGCGGAGGCAAAAGTTATCACTTGCAAGCGAAAGTTTGATCATGTCACACCGCTACTTATGGAGCTACACTGGCTCCCCGTCCGTCAGCGTATTATTTTTAAGATCTTACTGTACACCTTCAAGGCACTGCATGGTGCGACTCCAACGTTCTTGACTGAGCTCATCAGTCCTTATCTTCCTAGGCGAGCTCTCAGTTCTGCTCACCAACTTCTACTGAAGCAACTAACACACAAGCTCAAATTGACTGGCCTCATGGCTTTCTCAGTGTGCGCGCCTTACTTCTGGAACTCGGTTCCATTTGAGATTAAAAGCAGTGCATCTGTCTCTATTTTAAAGCTAAGCTTAAGACCTATCTTTGTCGACAAGCATATTTTTAGACTTTCAGTTTTGACTTCTTTTTTCGATTTTTAGGACTTTTAGACTTTGAACTTTTTTACATTTTCTAGTGTGTAGGTTATAATTTGACACTGTTAAGCGCATTTGGGCGTTAGGAAAATGTGCTTTAGAAATAACTGATTTATTATTTATTTTATATGCGTAAGCCACAAGAAATTCGCTACGGCGACAGTGGTTTGTAGTTACGCTTTGTCTTTACAATAACAAGCTTTTCAAAAAAGATATCCATTCATTTAGTAGCCATCCATAGCCAAGAAGAAGATTGATTTATTTGCTTACCGCAAGGGAAAAGATGCAGAGAAACACGTAACATGTAGTGACAACAAGATGATATTCAAGATATATCATTCCATTAGATTCATTGAGTCAAAAACCAGAGTGAGGCTCTGAAAGCTGAACAAGCTACTTTAGTTTGGAAATTTCTTGTTTTTACATCATAACTTGTGATTGAGGTAAACGCTGTAGTCTTTCTTTGAACTGTTTGTGTTCAATTTAATGTGTGCCTCCGACGTCACATGCTGGACGCATTATTGCAAAGAGTCTGAGGTATATGTAGTTCACACCACACCAACAATTTAACTATGCAGTTGTCTTTCTATGGGATAATTTGGCATTATCAAATGAGTTGACAATGTGAATTGGTCACCGTGAAGAGACTGTAAAGCTGACATTTCGAGCGTTATCCCTTTGTCAGAGTGCACTAACGAAAGGCTAACGTTCGAAACGTCAGCTCTATAATCTGTCTATGGTAGCCTAATCACGTTCTCAACATATTTGATTAAACAAAAGTATGTGTTAGTACCTCTCATCGACGCAGCGCCACAGGCTTTTTAGAAACCAACCTCATATTCATTCCTCTTTCTATATTTAACCAGGTACGTGAAAGATCTGAGACGATGCTTCTTCAGATGGCTACACCTGATGCAATTGCTCGTCTTCCACACACTGCTTTGGGAGGAATGGCACGTGATGTTTGGAATGCTTACTTCAACGAGCAACAACATTCAAGTTTGGCAGCGTTCATGTCGCTCATGCTCCTTTCGGACGATATTCGTCTAGATAAAAAGCATCAGGAGGGGCTCCTAGTTCAGGTCAGTAAGGAAGATCTCGACGCCTTCGCCTTTATTGGTATGCTTGCCGGCAGCCACAACCGTTGGCCAGTCTTCCATCTTCAGCCAGCTATAGTTTCACCTCACCTTACCATATGTGCTCATGAAAAATCGTAAAACTGTTTTTAAAATCTGAAAGAAACCGTCAATGCAGCCATTTATCAGTTTTACCAGTTACAGGTTTAGATGTGTAAATTAATTACACGTTCAGAAGTTGCGCGAAGTTTCGTGCAGTCTTGTGCGTATTCTGACAATGAGGCGTCTACGATTAACCTCATGGCTTCCCTTTTCTTACTAGTCATTTACTCTAATAGTCATTGACAGCCTAGAAACAAACAAGTAGAGGCTCCTGTAGCGCCAAGAAATACCTGTATTTGCTTTTGTTTTTTGTTTGTTTGTTTTTCATTTTTATCATCAAGAAATGGTCTATTGTTCCGGCTCAACTTCTCACATTAAGTATTAAACAATAGTCCTTTTGTTCTTTGTAGCGCTGAGGGACTTTGGCCGAAGCGACGCGAAAAAGTTCGTGAGCAATCGGAAAAAAATTTTTCTGTATGACAATTTAGCTATTTTGGAAGATTAGGTAGCGCATATTTGCACACAACAGGTAAATTGTCACCGGAGTACCCCCAAGGGAAAATTAACCGCTGGTTTAGCCGCTTTGGGGGAGTGGGTAGCGTAAATTTGTCTCGTCGAGTCAACTCTCAATGGTCTACCCCAGGAAAAAATTGACCGCTAATGTGGCAATGCATACATCGAGAATTCAAATACGTTGTGTCTCATTCAGATCACCTCTCTCCGTATAAATCTTTCTCCAGACACTGTCATAGTTCTAAACTAAAGTCGTCATAGTTCTAAACTAAAGGCTAGTCTTTCCGAGCGTTTAAATTTCCCGCACGCATGCTAATCGAAAACTTCGACAAATCCCTCGTGTGTTCTGAAGCTGTTGCGCCATTGTTCAAAAATGGCCCTATAGAGTCATTTTTCGCTAGGATAACAAAGCCTATTGTTATCAAAGTTGAGTCACTTTTCTTGGTTCTGTCCTGGTGTACCGGTTCACAAGGGAATTACCATTGTTCTTTCTTTGTTTAAGAGTCATTGGTTAGCTGTTGTGTATTGTTTGGTCTTTTGTAACGGCTCTTGTGAACCGGTACACGAGGACAGAACCCTTTTCTTGATGTGAGTCATCAAGTTAATAAGCTAAAGTTTCATTTTCTTTTAGATTACTACTCATTCACGTCTGCTCTCTAACATCGATTTGGAAGACATATGCATCCAAACTAAATTTCACCGTTCCACTGTTGATTTCTTGACACTTCAGCAGTTCCAAACGGAACAACAGTTTAGAGCTTCAGTCAGGTGAGGGTGTGATGCCTATCAGCGCGTAGAGCATTGTTGCCTCAATTGTTGTACAACATTCCATTGCCGGTTAGAAAAGAGCCAGTAGAGTTCAAGGGGTTAAAATATTGACGTGTAGAGGCAAAACCTTGGAGGGAGGTGAGGAGAATTCCTTTTATGTCAGTTACAAGGAATACTTATCGGAAATGAGGACCTTTTGTAGGACTCTTCGTCTAAATTCATTCAGCAAAATTATACTTTAGGTTACTGAGCATCTCGATTGTCTAAAATACGACCATATGCCACACACCGTCTGAGCTAACCTTTGTTGTGTGGGTAAACGTATGGTTCTCGTTTTCTAGTACTTTAAGAGAATAAAGTGTATCTCACATGATTCTCAAATAATTTTGTTACGATTCGTGCGTTGTATTCATCACTGATACGTGCTGTTTTCCTTTTTCTCACAGAGCGTTTTTTGAACAACTTGGAGGAGAATGTCCTGGCATTCTTCTTGTTCAGTGTGATTCAGGAGATGAAAACTTCAACCTGATTGCAGGTGCAAGGCACATTCTGCTGGAAGAACGAACAAACGCGTCTGAAATGCTCAATTTGTGTTCAGTGGAAGCTGTCCACATTGTGTTGATCATACAGCTGCCAAGAATCGCTGGTGGATGTCGTAACTTTGTTGGTTTCCAGGGTGGAAAATGGATGTCCCTTCACATCGATGAACTTCGTCCACCTGGTAAGCACACTCCTTCCATTGAGCAACTCATCGATCGTCCTATCAGTAAGCTTTTTAGTGGAGTCCACATCGAGGAAGATGACCTCATGCAAGCAGCGACGGTGGCAGTGAAACTCCTTCGTAACTGTGTACAGGCAGCCGCTTGTAGGGTTGAAAGCGAAACGGAATCTGCTGAACGGTCAACTCACAGGATTGAGCTGCTTTTGGATTTATTACCTGATAACTTTCAAAGTCAAAAGGGTTAGTAAAGAAAAAAATTTAACAATATTAAGTAATAAAATTTAAGAAAAGCTCAAGAGTCTCTCCTGTAAACGAGTTATTTCCAAACTATAACTTTTCTAAAGCTGCTGTCAAGGCCTTGGGGGTTTTAAATTTACGCAGACTTTCCTTTCGACATTTTTTAAGAGCGAATTGGAAAATCACAAAATTTAACCTGAATATTGCAATCATCAAATCCTACCGCTAGTGCAGTCTTTACTAGATCTCTACGAATTTGAAGGGAGGTATTTTTTTTCCGTAATGAAAGAGATCAACTATTTTCTACAATAAATGATACCAAGAAGTTGAGACCTTAACAGGGTATCGAACAGCAGTGGTGTTCCAAAATCAACAGAGTTGCTTCAAGACAAAGAAAGATTCTTTCTTTGCTACTTTTGTGGCAAAGTAAGAGTAAATCGTTACCTTTTTGCAGGAGTCATTGAGATAAAGACGCTACGAGAGTCATCCATTGATACAGAATCCCTAATATGTTATCGTCTTCTTTTCTGGTGTAGTCAGAGAAGTTGCGAGTTTGGCTCGGGTGGAATGTTTGCATTATTCATCGCTTAATGTATAATCAAGGCAAAATTGAGCGTCAAATTTGCAATCTTTTTAAAAAACCAGCCATTCTTTATCGCTAGGGGGGAGGGGGATATTTTGTGGGAACACTTGGTTGTCAGGGAGAAGGAGAGGGGATCATTTATCTCATTTATCCGCAATTAAGGACTTTTCAGTGTTATTCAATACTGGAGGTTTAGGGGCAATAGTTAAAAAAAGGCAGCTTAATGTTAAGTGACGTGAAAAAGCGAGGCTTAATTCGGTATCTGCGTTTCAGTATTTTATCACTCCTTTTAAGGTTACCGTGCACCTTCAGGGGTGTCTCGCGTGCAAGCGATGCAGCGCGTCCGGTTATCTAAATCCCTATGTGAAATTAAAGCTTTTAGGACTGGCTATCCGACTATACCAAAAATTTAAAAAAAAAAAATGAATCGTCGAATTTTTCACGACTGCTAAATGCGAGCGTCCGAATCACCTTTTGAACGTTACATGTCAAAGCGTATTTTGTTTTTCGCTTATTTAATGTGTTCCTCCGTTTCCGGTGCTAAAGCGCTCAAAAAACGTGTCTGCGATTTGGCTTATTCAATTTCAGTGAAAAGTTGCAGAACATTTTTTTTGAAATAGGATTAAAAAAATGTGGAGTGATCGTTCAAAAATCGCTCTTGAAAAAAAGTATTTAGAAACCACCTTTTTGTGGTTTATATGTAAAACTAGCTACTGTCAAAATTTGAGAGCAATCGAACAAATGCCCTTTGACTTGTAGCTCTTAAAAGATGATTCGGGCGCTCGCATTTGGAAGTCGTGAAAAATTCGACAATTCATTTCTTCTCAAAATGTTTGGTATAGTCTGATAGGCAGTCCTATAAGATAGTTTGATATAGGGGTTTAACTATCTACAGTTTAAACCAGACGCGCTACATCGCTTGCACGTGAGACACCCCTGAAGGTGCGCGGTAACCTTAATCTCCGCTCCTATTTCTTTTAAGGTGAAGAGTCCTTTGCAAGCGTGGTGGTACAAAGAACATACCACCTCTTAGAGGAAAGTGAGCTAATAGCGTCAAATCCACAAGGATGGCTCCAATCAGAAGCTCTGTTGGGAACAGGGGTGCAAGAGTGGGGCACCTTTAGAAAGGCTCTTTTGCAGCGAGTGTTTTCAGTTGTGGTTCCTATTTTGGCGGAAATCATTGCATTTGCAGACAGGGACTGCAATTTGGACCTAGTGAAGAATGATGACACTTGGGTTTCGAGGCTGTGGTTGAAGATCTTGGCTGACCGTACCATCTCAAAGCTAAGTTACAGCGACATGATATCACCTGGTACTAATTCTGTTCGAGAGCGTGTTCAAGTTATTGGTTCTGGAGCCGGCGGTCATCGTTTTTCTTGCCGATTTCCGTTTTCGTTCATTATCAAGCAACGCGTGGAAAAATTGTTGAAAGAAGCCTCTAGCGTGGAAGGTACGCTTTTACTTTGGCTTTTGTTTTATTTACTTTTTTAACTGTTTGCGCTTGTCTTTCTGTTTTATTTAACGAGGAATTCACACAAAATATTGCCCTAGCTAAGATATGATCGCCAACGTATGAGTAGATAGAGGATAGAGGCTCACGTCCACTACTGGTATACATTTTCTACTATTTACGAAAACAGGAAACGTAGTGAAAAATCCAGGGACGAACATCAAAGAAATCACTAAAATTGTAAATCATCGGCATCTCTATATATTCTATTCTGGTGTTCATGACGTTAATGAAGTAATCTGAAGGACGAGATTTAGCTCCCTTTATCAAGAATTGTTTCATGTACTTTTTGTTTCCTCGGTTGCAGCTCATTCATCGAGCACCACTCTGTTGGACTCTCTTCGTGAAGTGATCGTTAACTCGCAGTTGGGACCTCCACTTGATGAATTGCGCCATTCAAACTCCGCGGGACTGCTGTATCTGAAGGATTTCGTTCACATGGTGTACAAGCATTCCAGCGATGTGGAACACGAGGTTTTATTTCTGCGAATGTGTTCATCGCAATAGTACCTAAGGCTACTCCCATAACGTAACTTAAAAACTACCCGTAGGATTTACTGAAGAATAGCTGTACTTTCTTTTGCAGCGTTTTTTAAGACTCCCCATCCACTTCCGAGAGGAAATTGTATTAATCAGTAATTTACAAATGTACGAGATCAAAAACAATACTAAGATATTGAATGTGTAACTTCATAAGAAGGCAGCATGGTCGAGTGGTCAGCGTGTCGGACTTGCAATCCGCCGCTCCCAGGTTCAAGTCCCGCCCTGGCCACTAGTTGGATTTGTTTCACGGTAGCCCCGACTTTCAAATCCCCGGCCATGCTTGTAATATAGCCAAATGGTTTGCCTTCGGCCAGTTGGGATTCTTAACAACGTTATTTTCAATTTGAATTATTCTTTTAAGTTGTTTCGTGGAAAACCTGTTAACTAGCTTCTAGCTAAGTGTTTCTCCGCGTTAAACTGTTTATTATTATTATTATTATTATTATTATTATTATCATCATCATCATCATCATCATTATTATTATTATTATTATTATTATTATTATTATTATTATTATGACCTTTTGGTGGTAGATTCAGAGAATAATAATGAGCCTTTACGCTTAGGGATGACGGCGATTTATCAAAACTATGTCCTTTCTAGCCCACTTAAGTATTCCTTTCTTTTCTTTCAGCTTGTTTACGAGGCGATTATTTCGTCAGCGAGGGAAGTCCGTACCCTGGAAGATAAAGATGATAACGAGTTGATGGATTTAGCTCTTGTTCATGTAGCATACAGTAGAGTTCAACACCGATTGAGGTGTTTTGATACACTCGTTAAAGCAAATCCAGATCTGGTACCAAGACTACGAGAAGCTCTTCAAGGAAACGAGACAGAAGTGGCAAGTCCTAATACTTTATTGTGACTGTCTTTGATGCGGTAGTTTTAGTTGTATCCTTATTTTAACGAGCTTCAATTTGCTGGTTTTTTTAAGGCAAGATCACTAGTTGGGGTCCTACATTAATTCATATTTAAATGGCCCTTTGGCAGGACAGGTCGTTAATTACTGAAAATTATCTGCTGTAAAATAGTGAGGGAGTCACAGACGCAAAATGAGCCACCCCCTACAAAGTTTGGTCACTTTGAGATATTCTGTTGCTTTGCTTTTCAAATGTAACTCGTATATTATCTGAGTTGCACATGTTAATTTGCCTGTCTGTAAAGCAAAGATAATTGTACCTTTCTTTTCCTTTTGCATTTTTATTATTTTTTTTTTTACAGCTTTTGGATGTTATAACTTTGCGCATTTGTCTCGAAGCACTCGAGCCATCGCGTGAAATGTTGCTTTCTCCGGACACACGACGAACTTGGTGTGATAGAGTTTTGTCTATAAGGCCAGCAGTGGAAGACATGATTAGGAAAGAGAGGTTTGGACCTGTCACGGAGAAATGTTCAAACTATGGAGGGAGATCAGCAGTAATGCTCGAATACTGCAGGTAACGTGACACCCACATTACCCCTAATGCGGCTGGTTGTGTCTGTGACACAAGCAGACGCTGACTAAAAGGCTCTGACGCAGTTAGGTGTCGATAATCCGCAGACCATATCGATAGGGTTTTTTTATAAACCGTCAGTCGTTCTATCGCTCCGTCTTTTTTGAGGGAATTGTTTCATTTGGTCTTTTAGCCAGCCATAAAAATAGTATTTATAAGTGATACTTCTTACAAGAGGTATTTACGAGACGTCTTTTATACTGAAATCCTTTCAAAACCATCTTGAAAATTTGCTCATTAAGAATTTATACCGAGGTTGTGGACGTTAATGGTGGGAAACTATGCTAGGTATTGGATATGATGAACGGACACGAATTTTGTAAGGCTTTAGCGACTTTGACCGTTTTTCTGTGTTCTTTATTTTTCACTGGAAGTGGATACTTTATATCAGGGGTAGATTGCGGAACAGTGTTATAAAAGAGATCTTCTTTCCCAATGGATGACGGCTAGTTCTTATGTTTGTGGCCAATTGAAAAACAGGAAAATTAGGTTCATTTTGTTTTTAAGTCGAATTCGACAGGAAAGGTATCTTTGTTTTGCATAAGAAAATAAATTTTATCAACGCAAAACAGTAGTCCTGTGTTGTAAGGAGTTGTGTAGAAAACCCCATTGGTGGCATAAAAATGATTAACAACTTTCAACCTTGCACTTATTACAAAAAGATTTACATCGGCGAAACAGGCAGAAGACTAGGTGACCGATTCCGAGAACATCTTCGCGACGTGGAGAGGAATGACAAGGACACATCGAAAGCAATCACTAGACATTTTAATTTACCTAATCATTCTAAGCAACATATGGCAATCTGCGGTCTTTCCTTACACTTACGTAGCACGGAAAGCCGTAAAACTCTTGAACAAAAGCTCATCTTTCAAACCGGCAGTCTAAATCCCACAGGTATCAACGAACGCTTTTCATTCCACTAATTAATTCGTGTTTTTCTCGTTGCCATGTTCCCACCAATAACGTAGCCCCATTTTCTGCCTTTAAAAGCACACACAACCCACAATTCCTCTATTCGCTCCGACGAAGGGCTAACGCT